ACACACACACACACACACACACACACTTATACACTACGGCCAGTGTAGTTCAGCAATTCCCCTATAGCGCATGTATTTGGACTGTGGGGGAAACCAGAGCAACCCACGCCAACACGGGGAGAACATGCAAACTCCACACAGAAACACCACCTGAACCAGCCGGGACACGAACCAGCGACCTTCTTGCCTACTGTACACATCCACATAGAAATCAACAGTGCTTTTTAAGTGTGTGTGTGTGTGTGTGTGTGTGTGTTCGTTCACTGTTCAGTGAGAGTGGATGTTTTCCTCTGTGCTGTAGTTCCTCCTCCTGCGCACGTGCGTGCGTGTGTGTGTGTGTGTGTGTGTGTGATTAGACGGTATGCGGCTCAGACTCAGGTAACACACTCTCTCAGACAGCAGGATGGCGAGTGTGTGTTTGTGTTGAGAATGGAGAAGAAAGTGTGTGTGATCCAGACTGACTTCCAGCAGAACAGACCCATCATCGCCATACACAGCAAACCACTGGCTCACGTAAGACACTCTTAATTCTTTATGAGCTACACACACACACACACGCGCGCGCGCACTCTGTTTGGTTGTAATCGTGTGAAATCAGTGTACTCTGTCGGGACTGGCAGATATGAATATGCAGGTGGATCCAGACTCTCGGGGGTTTTCTCGGGAATGTAAACAAAGAGTTGAAGAAATGAGGGGGCTTCCAGCTCTTAAAGAGACAGATCACTCTAAATCACACTTACGCTCACTCTAGTGGACTGAGGTAAAGTTGATTAAACATTTACACATTTACTACACAGTATAATTTCAGAGAGGCATGATCTCAAATGAGGGAAATCATTTCAAAGTACACCATAGTTTGATTAATTAAGTAGTGCTCGTGTTGTCGAAGTCACACTTGCATGTGATATGAGACCCAATATTTACATTAGCGTGGTAAACACTATATAAACTTTATTTATACTTGTCTCTTTTTATTCCTGTTTATGTAAAGCTCTTGGAATTGCCACTGTGTGTGTGCTATAGAAATAAGCCATGCATATGTATGTTTAAGATGTCACTAATTGAATATGTGAATATAAATCCATCAGCACCCTTCTCCACTTCACTGAGCCATGGAGATTCCCTGAATAAGCTGAATAATGCACTTCAGGATGCTGAACTATGAGACAATAATGTGCGCCTGGGGTGGCACAGTAGCTCAGTGGTCAGCACTGTTGCCTCACAGCAAGAAGGTCTCTGGTTTGAGTCTCAGCTGGGTCAGTTGGTGTTTCTGTGTGGAGTTTGCATGTTCTCCCCGTGTTGGCGTGGGTTTCCTCCGGGTGCTCCGGTTTCCCCCACAGTTCAAACACATGCGCTATAGGAGAACTGATCAACTACATTGGCCGTAGTTGACGGTTCATTCCGCTGTGGTGAATAAAGGGACTAAGCCGAAGGAAAATGAATGTATGAAATCATTTTGGCATTACAGTACAACATTATTCGCAGTTAATTAAACAGTGCTGATGTTGTTTTGAAGTCAGTCTTGCGTGTGATATGAGACCTAATATTAAAGGCAGCATGGTAAATAATATCTGTTCATCTAATATTTAAGTTGTCACTGAATGAATGTGTGAATATGCTGCGAGACCAGCAATGTTTATGACGACGACAACACAAAATACTCTGTACAACGTTTGACGTTTGTCTCCTGTGAAATATTTATTCTCGTGTGTGTTTCACTGAGCAATGGATTTTTCACAGTGTGTCCTATAATATGTCTTCTGCAGAAAGTTATTAATTTTAGTTTAGCTGGAATGATGCAGCTTTTAGTTTTTTTTTTTTTTTTTGGGGGGGGGGTGTCTACAAAACAAACCACTGTTATACAATAAACTGCCTAAAGTTAGTTATAATATTAATATTATTTATTAAATTATACATTAATTGTGTTTTATTAGGCTCAGTGGTGTCACACTGATCAGTTGGTGTTTGTGTGTGGAGTTTGTGTAGGACCGGCGGGGTTACATTGGTGTCGTGACCTGGATGGGAGTGAGGTTTAAGGGGGTGAGTGTGACGGAGGCCAGCTTGTAAGTTCTGTGCAGGTAAACCTCACTGCTCTGAGCTCTAAAGGTGCTCTAGCGACAGATGCTAAAGGCCATGGTCTTAAGCTTCCTTGGTAGATAAAACCAGCTCCCATGCGAAAGGTCGCCGGTTCGGTCCCAGCTTAGAGCGAGTTGGGCGATGTTGGACCGGTGGGGGTTACATTTGCATGTTCTCCCCGTGTTGGCGTGGGTTTCCTCCGGGTGCTCCGGTTTCCCCCACAGTCCAAACACATTTTACACAGTTTATTACAAGGTTTCTGTAGTGTAATATACAAAACCAACCCAGACAGTATAGCACTGCAGACTAGTACACATGTGCTTTTCAAGGTCAAAAGTTGCTGAAAGAAAGATCAAGAGCCCATAATGCAGCTCAGAAGCAGAAATAAATAAGGAAATAAAAAAACAAAAATCACAAAAATTGTGAATTTGTAGATCTTATTTAACTGACTGAACACTCATTCATTCATTTTCTTGATGGCATAGTCCCTTTGTTAATCTGGGGTCGCCACAGCGGAATGAACCACCAACTTATCCTGCACATTTTTACACAGAGGATGCCTTTCCAGCTGCAACCCATCTCTGGGAAACACCCACAAACACTCATTCACACTCATACACTGCAGACAATTCAGCCTACCCAATTCCCCTATAGCGCATGTGTTTGGACTGTGGGGGAAACCGGAGCACCCGGAGGAAACCCACACCAACACGGGGAGAACATGCAAACTCCACACAGAAACGCCGACTGGCGTGAACCAGCGACACTGTGACCTTCTTGCTGTGAGGCGACAACACTAAGTAACTACTTATTTAAAATGAGCTGAATAAACTCAGTTCTTGAGATTTCATTGGGACAACTTAATTTTTTATGTTCAGTCCACATAAATTCATTAAAAGTGTGATGTTAGGTTAATCAATTTGTGTTGGACTACGATAATGAATGGTGTGGAGCCCTGCATATTTTACAGAGAAACTTAGTTGCTATCTTATATCTATTTCTTAAACCCTTTAAAAGACAGAAAAGGCAGAGAGAGAGAGAGAGAGAGAGAGAGAGAGAGACAGAGAGAGAGAGAGAGAGAGAGAGAGAGACAGAGAGAGAGAGAGAGAGAGAGAGAGAGAGAGAGAGAGAGAGAGAGAGAGACAGAGAGAGAGAGAGAGAGAGAGAGAGAGACAGAGAGAGAGAGAGAGAGAGAGAGAGAGAGAGAGAGAGAGAGAGAGAGACAGAGAGAGAGAGAGAGAGAGAGAGAGACACCCAGAGAGAGAGAGAGAGAGAGAGAGAGAGAGAGAGAGAGAGAGAGAGAGGTTTGTGTTCAGTTTAGTTCATGGATATTGAGGAATCCATATGTCTGTTGTTATAATAGGCTTGTTATTGTAATCTGCACATTACGACGTCTTTCACAACATTCGCTGCACTGGAAGCAGATGTTTCATGCGTGATTTACTGGACATAAAGTTATGACATAATAGCAGATCAAAGCCGCTTCTGGTGCATTTGTGCTGCAGATGCTTCATAATTGAGTCCGCTTACATTTCGGCAGGAAAAAAGATGACCGAGATATAAACCAAAACAAGACTAACGACGCCATCGCAACTCATCTGCCAGAAAGGTGGAGGAAAACACAGACAAATAAAAAGATGCATCACATCTATGCAGACCATACTGTAGAACAAGCAGTTCACTCCACTGAATTAATAGACAATATGCACAGCTGAGCTGGTGAAGTGGCCGTTACTCATCACGTGAACATTATTGTCTGATAATCCAACATCCTGAAGTGCATTATTCAGCTCGCTCAGTGAAGAGCTCATCATTTTCATTAAGCTTAGTCCCTTATTCATCAGGGGTCGCCACAGCGCAACTATTCCAACATATGTTTTACACAGCGGATGCCCTTCCAGCTGCAACCCAGTACTGGGAAACACCCATACACACTCATTCACACTCACTCATAAACTACGGCCAGTGTAGTTGATCAGTTCCCCTATAGCGCATGTGTTTGGACTGGAAACCGGAGCACCTGGAGGAAACCCACGCCAACACGGGGAGAACATGCAAACTCCACACAGAAACACCAACTGACCCAGCCGAGACTCAAACCAGAGACCTTCTTGCTGTGAGGCAACAGTGCTGACCACAGAGCCACCATGCCACTAGTTATAATTAGATTATGCAAAATAATATCCACTGTAAATATGCTTAAAAACAAACTTATTTCTGGTTAATTTTATTTTAATTTTGAATGTGTGTGTGTGTGTGTGTGTGTGTGTGTGTGTGTGTGTGTGTGTGTGTGTGTGTGTGTGTGTGTGTGTGTGTGTGTGTGTGTTTGTGTGTGTGTGTGTGTGTGCGCAGTTGTGAAACTCACTGAAGGAGCACTAATGTGTGTGTGTAGCCGCAGCTCCAGATCTGCTGTGAGTGATTGAGTGTGAAGCAGGAATGTGAGCGTCTGCCAGATCAACTCTGTTTACCGCGGTAAAGACACTGAGGCCAGTGCTGATCACTAATAATCACAATTCTCTCGTCTATCGGCTCTGTGCTGTGAACTTGATCCTCCTCAAACCTGCAGCAGTGTATCGTTCTGTGGAACACACACACACACACACACACACCCACACACTCTTCTAAGCGCAGAGGTATTTCTGCTGGCTCTCTTTGATCTCCTGTTTGGGCGTTCTCCTCAGTGATGAACTGTCCAGCATTATGCATCAGAGCCTCAGATACAGGACTGGGCTGTTTTTCCTGGTGACAGACGCTCTGGCTGCAGCTTCAGCTCTGCGCATCTCTCAGACAGATTTTGAGCTTGTTTTGGAAAATTAGCGCACATCTGTTATTTCATCCAGGAAGGCATCTATGCGGACATGTCGAATCCTGTTAAACAGAGAATGATGGAAGGATGATGGATATTAAAGAATAAAGCTCCTATATGACTGTAAATACTGTAGTCATTTAGTAAATGTTGTAGTGTTTTGGAGCAACGACTTGATTAATCTGTTGTGTGGTGATTCTATAATTGCTGTGGTAATCAGTTATTAACATAACAGTTACTAGTTGATGTGTTACCTTATCAACCGTAGAATCACCACAACAGATGAGTTACTATAGCTGTTGTGTTACCAAGGCAACTGTAGAATCAACATGACAGATTGGTCAATATAGTTGTTGTGTTACCATAGCAACTGTAGAATCACCACAACAGATCAATTACTACAGTTGTGTTACTGTGACAATTGTAACATCACCTCTACATATCGATTACTATAGTTGTTGTTACCATAGCAACTGTAGAATCACCACAACAGATTAATTACTATAGTTGTTGTGTTACCATAGCGACTGCAGAATCACTACAACAAATCAATTACTATAGTTGTCTTGTCACCATAGCAACTGTAGAAGATCACCATAAAAGATCAATTACTTTAGTGATTGTGTTACCATAGCAACTGTAGAATCACCACAACAGACTAATACAAGTGCTTCACAATACGGCTCAAAAGCAGTGTTTACTGTAAGTTACTGTAGTATTTTTTGGTTCGATCAAACAAATCATTACTGTCACACACACTACAGCACCTGTTTTATGAGAACTGTTCAATAATAATAATAATAATAATACGCCTCTCCTTGTGCTTCAGTATCTAAGCATGAGTGTATGGGCTGAGAAAGTACAGCTGATGTGTTCAGCAGACATATCAGAGTCTTAGGCAGCGCTGGAGTTTTTCCTCTGGATTGTAGGCCAGGAGTGCGCGTGACTACACACACACACACTCACACGCTCTCTGCTTCTTCAGGTTCATCCGCTGCAGACAGAGATGAAGGACCGAGACGAGCTGAAGAAGGCGATGGAGCAGAGTGAGCGTCTGCAGAGCCGCGTGCAGCAGCTGGAGGAGGAGAACACTGAGCTGAGCAGGCAGAAGCATGAGGCATTCGTCCGCATGCGTGCTGTGAGTCCTTATTTATATTGCACATTTAACTGCAGGTTGAGTGCTTCACATAAGCCTTAGAAATGGCAGATATCCAAAAACATATAGAATCACTCTGATGCTTCACACTACACAATATTCATGCCTCTCACACAGCTCTTGTGCAGCTTTGCTCTTGAATGCACATGCATTTCCTTTTAAATTAAATTAGAAATGTTGCTATATCATATATTGTAAAAATGATATTTTAAATAATACTCTGGGTTCCAAATGAACCTGTTACTGTTTATTTTGTGTTTTTGGTGATTGTTTGTGCTGTTCTCAGGAGTTGATGGATGAGATATTTATGGTGTCTGTATGTTTTCATTTTCTGCAGAGTCAGAGCCCGATTATCTTTTAATCTTTTCCTGTTCAAAAATATAAATATATATATATATATATATATATATATATATATATATATATATATATATATATATATATATATATATATATATATATATATATATATATATATATATATATATATATATATATAT